ATTCAAATGAGGTGTTATAAAGTTTAAAAAATTTATGAGATACTCAATTGAGATTTTAAAAAATTATAAAAACTAGGTATTTGATATATGATATTATATTAGACCGGTTTTAATGGATAAAAGGAATATATTGGAGAATAAGCCTACATGTGGGCTAAGACACGTGGCATAATGGTATTGGTCAAGCCCAACTTGGGCCCTAAGGTACATTACCTGACTCCCCCTGTAAAAAGAGCTAAGGTATCTTATTAACTCTTTATTCTTCATTCATTACTACACTCTCATTTTAGCGAGTGCTGACTTAGGCATCGGAGGCCCGATACTGGGACCCCTCCCAGCGTTGGGTTCTTGCAGGTACGGAGGCTGTTCGAGTTGAAGGAGCCCAGGTGAATTCCATTTCACCATTAGTATTTAAATTTAAAATTTAAAGTGTCTTGAAAAGTACTGAGGTGTTCAATTTAGAGAAAAATGCATTTTTCATGTATGTTTCATAAAGGCAACAAATTCGTCCCAATCAAGGCTATGTTTAGTAAAACAAGTTGATAGCTGATAAGCTAGCTTATAGCGTAGTTTTTTAGCTTTAGCTTATAGTTAGCTGAAAGGTGCTTATATGATAAAAGTATTTGGTAAAATTAGCTGATAAGATAGTTGAAATAAAATTTTGAACTAGCTTATTTGAAAAGCTACATAAAGAAGCTTATGAAATAAGCTCGAGCTTTTTGAAAAAGCTCGTCCAAATGAATTTTATTTAAATGTAGAAAGCTTATAAGCTAACCAAATAAGTTATAAGCTAACTTATTTGTTTACCAACTATAGCCCAAATAGCGGCTTTGATTTTTGTCCCTCATGTTTATAAAAAGGTTACTAAAAGGTCCCCGACTCGCCAAAAATTCATAATATAATAAAAAACAGCCATGTGAACCGCACGTGACCTATTTAACAGTCCATTTAATCCAATGTGGAACCAGAATGCCAGTGTGGCAATAGAAATTGACAAATGGCATGCAAAAATTAAACAAAAATGTTTGTATCCACGTGGCTTGACTAACATTAAAAGTCTGAAAATGAAAAGACACATTGACATGCTTTCTAGTCGATGCCGGAAGANATTATACTTGTAAGGGAATCTCCATTTTGTGGTGAAAACAATAAATTCAAGATGAAATAGGGTTCTTAAATAAAAACTCTAACTTTAAAATAAAATTAGGATGTTTTTTTACAAACCCTAATGTGGTGAAAAACCCTCATTTGATTGAAATTATGCTTTTTACCAATACATAATGTTGTATTCATTTTTCTTTGTTTTTTTAATAAGTTTTTTGATTCGTTTCCCTATAAAGTAGATATCACATAACTATAGTTCTTTGGTGTGGAGTTAAATTTGTGCATTCTCCAATTGTTGAGTATACGGAGGGTTCTAGTATAATTTTTGACTGGATAGATATTTCAAAAAACAATGGAAGAATTGGTTAAGAATTATACAACTATTTGTTTCCAAAATTTGTATCCAATTTGCATGGCTTTTAAATTAATCTTTATTTGAATTATTTTCATAAATAATTGACACATTTTTGACATAAGAATCTCCAAATTTGTTAACAAAAAAAAAAGGATTCGTATTTTGGTAATAAAAAAATAAAAAATGATAAGAAAAAATAGGATTCAAATTTTGACATAACAATCTTCAAATTTGTTAAAAAAAATGGGATTCAAATTTTGTTACTAAATAGTTGAAAAGAAAATCGGGCCAACTTGTCTAACAATATGGCTAAATTTGATTCTTAAAAATTCACGTGTATTTTTTTTTCAAATTACCACTAATAGTAAGTCAAACCTTTTATTTTTTTTAGTCAAACTCACTATATATAAAGGTACTTTCCAACAACCTTTTATATTACCATATATTTAATATATATCCATATGTATATATTATATTATAGGATGTGGTTCAAATGAGAACCAAGTTCTAGCGTGAGAACCGTGAGAACCGCTATTTATAGTTGCAAGTAGTGCTATGATTTATTGTGTTTTAATGCTATTTTTAACATTGATTTATTTTCTTAAAAATAGCAACACAATTTATAATAGCATTTGTGAAAATGATAGCACCATGTGATATTAAAAATAGCATCATACACAATTAAAAATAGCATCAAATATGGTTCTCACGGTTCTCACACCAGACATAGTTTTTATTTGAACCAGCCCCAATATATATAAATATTATGTATATATATATATAATATATATATATAAAATTATAAAATACCTTTTTGTTCGTTAATGCTAGTTTAGTTCGCGAACTTGTTTGTGTTCCTTCGATAACTAAACGAGCATAATTCCATGTTCGAGTTCGGATCGATTACTAAACGAATGAGATGTTATTGAACACGAACAAATACGAATGAGCTTTGTTCACGAACAGTTTAGTTCGATAATAACCCTACATTTAATGTTGGTGCATTTAATGGTGAAGTAGGACAGAGGGTGACACATCAATATTTTAATGCACAAACTCCATGCTGGAACATGTCGGCGAGGCGGTCCATCCCACGGATCGATATCGGATACCAAGCACGTACATACATGATTTCGAATTAACTTAGGTGTGCTCCTAAAGGATGAACATAAAAATACCTTTCTTCGAGGCTCTGATTCGATTTGAGTGATCTTCTAATATGTATCCCGATCACGTTTGCAATGAGTGGACTGCTCTCGTCTTTCTCGTACCCTTCTCGTCATTCTCTCCACGATTGTGGCTGGAGTGTCTCACGAATGCTTGGTTACAAGAACGTGGGTAATCCTCTCCTTTTATAGAGGTCATTGGGCCAGATTAGGGATCTCTTAGAAGGTATAGGGTTTGGGCTCCCTACAAGCCCAAATTCTTATGTTCAGCCCAGAACACAATTTGACCCGTAAATATTAATTCATTCCATTAGAGAGTTAATATTGCACTCCCGTCCTATCCCGAAATGAATCAGGACTTCTATTAGACTCGATATAATTCTTCGTGTTTAAGATATCGCACGTCCATTAATTATTAAAGCCTTTGACATCTTTAATTAATTAATATCTTTTATTTCTTAAGTAGTACCACTCAACCTCATTATCGTACAGATTAAATCCACCTGCAGGGTTTATACGGCAATTCTTATGAGTTCCTTAAGGAGACGTCATCAACCTGGATGTCCAGGACACGGTGCCATAATGCCAATAAATAGATAACATGCAGATAATGTCGTTACCTAAGATACGAAACATATTTAACCAATACTTGGTTATCTTCTATGGTAAGTCAAAGTAACAAACAAATATCCCACATATCTAAGTATCACAATTAGGGTTAAGAATTAGTAGAGTCACCGAGACCTTGGTTCTTCATGATAGTCAGAACAGAAAAACACGTCTCAACTGTGATCCATTCAATGCGTAGCAGCACATTAGTATAAACTAATAGCCAAGACAAGCTACATCCAGTTTATAGTACAACCTAAACTGATAGTCATGTCCATAATTATCTCAGTTGTGAATACCATTTATATCTTATAAAGAAACTGACGATGTAATCTTCTGTGTGACTACTAACACACCACATTGCCTACAATATAAGATAATTGGACATTTAACACACAAGCAATCGTAAAAAGTGCAACAATGTGAAAACATTTATTTAAGTCAAATAGAAAATCGAATAAATACACTCTAAAAACTCACATAGAAGTTTGCTTCATTGTATACTCCAACACTCCACATCTTGTCTTTTTTATTATTTTTATTTTTATCTCTTTTTCTCTCTAACTTCATTTAAAGTTAAAATGTAGAGCATCTATTCTCTCCTAAAAGTGGGTTATGGTACATATTATAGCTTATCAGCACCATTCAAATAGTGTAAATTTATTATACAAATGCCTAATTTTAATATTGAAATAGTGTATATATTTGCATATCTACTTGTATATGTAAAGGAGAAATAGTGTTACTCATGCATGTAATTTGAACTGTTTGTTGTTTTCACTCTCTTTTAATTTTCCTGTTTAATGAAGAGACTAATTATTATAAATAAGGAGGAGGGAAAAAAAAAGAGATGACAAACGCAAGTCTTATTTATAAACTTAGGATTATTAATTCTGATAATGTAGGCTGTAGCTATAGGAGTGTATAAATCTAGAAAGAAATAAAGATGTTCTTGACTATATAAAAGTTACTTACTACTGAAATTAAATCATGGACTCGTTACAATGTACTTTGTAGAGTTTTAAATTTTTTATTTTTTTATGTTGGTTCCTATTGAAAATGAATTTTATGATTGGCATGTTAGCAAGAATGATGATTATGTTGCTTTTGTAGAAAGTGTAGTGTATGTGTATCACATGACAAAAAGAAGAAAATAGAACGGATTTTATTAAAAAACTAAAAAATATTATTCAAAAGATATATTAATATGTCGGAAGATAACCTGTGGATTTTTTTTTTATTTTTTTTTAATATAACTATAACCAGTTCAAATGTTCAATGATTGTCTTTTTATTTTTATTTTTCTTAAATGGTACAAATATGAAAAAATCATGGAATTGTTTTCCATTTCTGTTCCTTCTATTCCTTAAATCATTTCTAAAGATAATGACCCACAAAGTCAAATGTGTTGTTCACTTTTCGTTTACGTAACAAGTTTATTTGCATAACGGCCCACACACCATTACATCAAGAAAGTACTACACAAAACAAAAGGATACAGAATGTTGTATACAATTATACATACGGCGGGCACACAAAGACACTTCATACATTTATCATGATAGTACTAAATTAATCATACGTTTAAAAAAGCAAATGTAAGACCGTTTGGCTGTATTAGCGTTTAAAAATCAATTATATTATTTTCTTGAATATTTGATAAATAGCAGATTACTTGTTTTGAAAAATTATATTATAATATATGAATAAATAACCAATAATATATATTTAAAAAATTTTAAAAATGTGAATGGAAAAAAAAAGGCCACAAACACACACATTCCTTGAGCTGGTGGACCAATCTTATTCGCACCTAAATTTGACGAGGCAGAGGGAGTCTCGAGAGAGAGACGCTGCCTTTTGAGAGAGGTTAAATTAAAGTGACCGGTCAGTCACCTACTGTTTACTTTGCCTGCCACAGTGCCACCAGTCCACCACCATTCATTTTTCCCTTTTTACCCCTTCCCCCAATAAAGTCCAAATACTTGACCCTTTTCAGTTTTGACCCCCAAATTTCCCTTCTTATTGTATATCTTTCTCTCTCCTCACCACCAATTTTCACCCTTCTTTCTCACTCAGACTCTCCTCCATGGACACACAGTTAATCTTAATCGCCTCCTAAAAAACAAAACATCAAAATTACTTCGCCCGCAGCCATGGCCGTTGAGCTCATGATGAACTGCAGAAACACCAGCAGCTTCACCATCCCAACCCCGCCGCCGGAGGAGAAAGCCGCCGCCGAGGAAGCCGCCTCCGGCCTCCAGAACGTCCAGGAGCTCCTCCGCCTCTTCTCCCCTCAGCCGCCCCGCTCCCCCGACGGAGGATCCACCGCCTCCGACTACGCAGCCGTGGCCGGCGCGGCGGTGAGCAAGTTCGAGAGGGTCATCTCCCTCCTCGGCCGGACTCGGACCGGACACGCCCGGTTCAGGCGGGCCCCGACCGCCTCGTCCCCGAGCTCCGTGCTCCCCCGCAAAATTACCGAGCTGCCCCCGCCGGAGGCGGGCGGCTACGGCAGGGTCTACTGCCCGACACCGATCCAGCAGGTCCCGCCGCCGGACTACCGCCACCGCCAGCCGGGGCCTAAGGCGATCAGCTTCTCTTACTCACGCGCCAACTCGTTCTCGTCGCTGACCGGCGGCGACGCCGCTGGAAAGCCGCCGCTGTCGTCCTCGTCGTCGTTCAAGAGGAAGTGCGGTTCCGAGAGCGCCGGCGCCTCCGGCAAGTGCAGCGGGTCGTCGTCCAGCCGCTGCCACTGCTCCAAGAGAAGGTGAAAAACACACACATACTCAAATTATGTGCAATTTAAGGTTTGTTTGATTATTGTTAATGGTAATATATTGAATGATTTTGTTAGGAAGCTGAGGTTGAAGAGAGTTGTTATGGTGCCGGCGATAAGCTCGAAGATGGCCGATATCCCGCCGGACGACTACTCGTGGAGGAAGTACGGACAGAAGCCCATCAAAGGTTCCCCACATCCTAGGTAATTGCATAATAATTCAACTACTACACAAACTTTTTTTCTTATTATTCACTCTTTTGAGAATTATGAACTGAAAAGTTCATAGATTTGGATTGAGTATTGATTGAATTGAGATTTAAGTTTACAACCTTAATTTGTTTTTCCAGTAATTAGTTATGTTAAGATAAAAATTAGAAAGAAGTAAATCGACTCATCATCAAATGAAAAGTTAAAAAAAAAAAAAAAGTTGCTAAAATTTACCTACTTAGGCTATCCACTCATAGAGTTCGAGTAATTTTTTACAATTTGCATTTACCCGAGTCAACGTCACTTGAATATTCCTAACAATAATAATGAAAAAATAGATTAGTCGACTGCTAAATAGCTTGTCGTAGCTACTATATAGACTTTTACTTCAATGATAATGCTTAGTTGCTAATGAAGGTAATAATTTTGACTGCCGAAATCACTACACATGTGCGTAGCACGCGGGCTAAATGTAGGTGTTTCTAAATTCACAAGTCAAATGTACAATTGAATAAATTAAATTCAATCAGCTTACTTTTCACCAATTCATTTACGATTCAACAATCAATTAGCCGTGTGATTGGCCCTGTTTAATAATTGATTTATTCTATGAACTTGGAACATTCAGATTTCAATAATATTCTTTTGTGCGATCAAATTATTAATTATTATTATTATTATTATTAGGGGCTACTACAAGTGCAGCAGTGTGAGAGGCTGCCCGGCTCGAAAGCACGTGGAGAAGGCCATCGATAACCCGACTATGCTCATCGTAACCTATGAAGGAGAACACAATCACGCGCTCTCTAACAATGCAGAAACTTCGAGCGCAATGAATATTCTAGAATCTTCCTAGGTCGATAATTTTATCATATTGTTACAAGTTTAATTAGGGTTATCAAGGACTGCTTAATCGTGTTTCCAGTTCTAATCTCGAAGGAGATGATGTTTGGTTGAGTTTGTTCTCTGTTCCTTCATCTTTACACAACATTGGATTTCCTGGTTTTTCATTTGTTTTCTTTCTTAAGTCTTTTTTTTTTTTTTAAAATAATTAATTAGAGTGCAATTTCGTATCAACTATGTTTTGTATATCATGTGGAGAAAGAAGAAAGGGCATATGGTGGATTTGGTGTGTGTTTGCCTGTTTGGACATAATTTCAAAGGAGGAAAGTTGGGTGATTATGGTTGTCTATGTTTCTTTACGTTATTATAATGTTTGTTTTTGCTTTAATCTTTTTGTTTATGCTATTAATCTTTTTGTCTTTTGTAATCCTAATTCCTCCTTTTGGGATTTGGACCGAATGATTTGTTTGCTTTTGCATTATAATTAAGCACTACGTACCGTCATATTTGACAATTCCAAGTTGCGGGGTAAGCTTTTCTAAACTTAATTGGACTGCCAAAATGTATCTACTAATATTTACTTTCTTTCTCAATATTTAATATAAATTCTTATTCATCATGCAGTAAGAATAGATTGTTTAAACATTTTGATCATAAATTTATATAACTAAAATAAAGGACGTGGCAAAAATTACTCATAAAATATAGGACGATTGACCATGCAATTTAAAAATGCAAATTAAAAGAGGAAATGGAGTTGGCAGTTGGGACGGCCAATTTACTCAAGTTAGATGAGTGTGGTGTAGAAGTGTACGGCTGCCTGCTTTTTAATGCAAACTACACGTAACATAATAAAAGTGCTTCCTTTCCTTATGGGTAACATAATATATCTTGGTAGTTGTTATATTTTGTATATATTATTATACATACAAATGATTAATGTAATACTTAATTGGTTCAACAATCAACAATGCATATAAAATCTCAACTCATTTGAAGAAAATAAAAAAAAAAAATAGAGGGAATTGAAGTATATTGTGCATTAAATCCAACCTTGTTCTGAAAGTGGGAAAAAGAGTGCTTGAAAGTCAAAATGTGCAGCTGGGTTTGATTGATAAGTCATAGCTCACAAAGGGCCTACAACTGTTTTCCCAGGTTTTTACACAATTCAATTTTCCCTTTGCTGCTGCATGCAATTTTTATAATAAGCCAAAAATACTTCAACTTGTACTTATCAATGGAGATTTTGTTGATCTCCAGATTTCTATCTAGAGCTTGAGAATGTTGACAAAGATTTGTGGGGAATATGCTAATAGACTATTGGCATACGCAACTTAATTTATTGACAATTAATATTATGTCTTATATTTGTTTATTGACAACTTAATTTATTGACAATTTAATAACATAAACACATACAAGTGAATGCAAATATGCAATGTTATTTTATACAAAGTAGTATCCACCAGAACAAAATAAGGTGCCAAACAGATAAATACTAGAAAATGGAAGCCTATGGTAATCAAAAACTACTTTACAAAGTTAGTCAGCACTTTACTGACCAAATGTTTTCCATAGACAGCTGCTTCGAACTTGCGGGTCCCGCCTGTCTTCTCCACGCACGTTTCCAGTGGCTCTATAGCCGCATCAAAGTTTGGCTGANGAAAAAAAAAAAAAAAACCAAAACGAATACAAGCGAAAAACATAAGTAATAAGAACATGACTTGCTCAAAATTTGTGTGTGTGCGTGTGTGTGTGTAATTGCAGAAAAATTGAACCTCGTAAAAATATGCAACACAAATGCGGTATTTCGGTGAGGTGTTGATGACCCGATGAAGAGTGGATTCGTAAAGACCGTTTGTCAGTATCTGCAATTTACCAGAATTTAGAATTTGCATGTACGCGTGTCACTGTGTGTGTGTGTGTGTGTGTGTCTCTGTGTGTGTGTGTGTGAAATAAATGATAAGGTTGCATTTAGCTTGATGGATTTAAAGTATGAGCTCAAGGATACAAAGTGTTTTTGAGTACTGTGAGTGTTTGTGGAAAAAGTTACAGTTTATGAGTTATTACGAACTTGAAATCCTTTAATTTTTCGAATAGGTTTTGATTCGTTAATTGCATACCTTTAACATGTCACCGATATTGCAAACGAATGTACCAGAAATAGGTACAGCTGATATCCATTCCCCACTATTGTTTCTTACCTTCAACAATTCCAAAAGACACGATTAATTTGACCAGGATTGATTACACCCCTAAAGAATAGTGCATCAGATTCTCGGCATGAAAATTCTTTTGTTTAGAGAAAAATAAAAATAATGATAATGATAAATAACATAACCCTGAAAGATATTACTTGCAGTGCAGTTATATCATCATCCTGATTAACTAATGTCAGCAAACCTGCATAACGTGATCAAAAGATCCCAAGATCATCACTGTAAATCCAAGAAACATTAAAAAGTAGGCTTTTCATGACTTTTTTTTTTGGTTAAAAAAAAATGTACCATAATCGGTATGAGCTCCACTGGATTAATCCAAGAAAAAGAGATGGGCATCGATGCATAAAGACAACGTCTTCTGTTAGAGATAAATGAAAACCAAACAAGAAGAAATACAAAAAGGCATAGAGTGTGTCTAGTAAGCACCATAAGCTAGCTTATAACTTATTTGATTAGCTTATAAGCTTTCTGTATTCAAATAAGTCTGATTTGGCAGAACGAGCTGTTTTAAAAAGTTCGAGCTAATCTCATAAGGTTTGGTTCTTTGAGTAACTTTTCAAATAAGCCTATTGAAATTTTTATTTCAGCTTCCTTATCAGCTAATTTCACGAATCACTTTATCATATCAGCCAGTTTTTCAGTGATAAGCCATAAGCTCGAAATTCACTTATCAGCTAGTTAGAAAATGACAGACATACCATCCCACATCATTTTTCTCGTTCGCCATTAGATTGCCATTCGCATGGTGGACAACAGGATATCCGATCACACGGAGCACCCAAAACGGGTCACCGGCTATGCTCCCTTCGAACACGTCCACTGGCCCACCCAATGCCAAAGCTATCCCTCTCATTATCTTCCTCGACAGATCTTAAATCAATTAATCATATTATGCCATTAATTTTCCTATAGATAATCGGCACAAGAATAAATTCCAAATGGGTTACAAATTTTATCAATGAAGCACCTGTGCAGCGACTGATATAATCCTCCATTAACGTTTTACAGTTTGGAGGGTCACTTGGCCTGTGAATACAAAAAGAATCAGAACCACTCATAAAACACAGTCACAGTAGTGATTGCAACACATTCACTCGCTTTCTGGATAACACATTTCCTTTTTTTAACCCTCTCTCTAGCAATCTAACTGACTAATTTCAAATGCGTACCATTTATTACATCCTTCCATGGTTTTGCCAAGAGTTCCATACATCCCGGGTGTGACTTCTCTGTAGCACTGTTTTGCAAAATCAGTGTCAAGATTAAAAAATACGAAGAGTAATTACATATTCTGCATGTATATATAATACATGCATATGACTATATCTCTATGGCCGCTTGCTGTAGGTAGACATGACTTTCTGTATGTGATGTGTGGATTTATATGAGAAGTTTATTAGAGCTAGAAACAGTTATTTCAATAATATAAGTTTGTCACTGTCTGTAAGGACTATGGCTAAACAAGCAACGGCCAACCTTATGTTCTCTAACATATTCACAACATACATAGAAGGGTTTTTGCTTGAAGTAGCCTAGAATAAAGTAAATATTAAAAGAACGCATGTGTGTGTTTTTTTTCCACACGGCCTAATAAAACATGATTTAACAGTATTTTCCTACTATACATTATAGGTTAAAAAATTACTAACTTTTAGCATTCAAGCATGGTGATAACCGAGCAAATTAAATGAGGGCATGGAGGGAACATATTTTAGCTATTCTGAATTCAGAAACAAGACTATCTTTGTGTGTCCCGAAATAGTTGTAGCAATGTCTATTTTGTGGGGTAGATAGAGTATGAGAATCTGCAGATATAAACATCATATAATCTCAACTAATATTGAAAGTAACAGAAAACAACATGGTCAACAATTTATGTCGATACTGGATGAAGTCTTGAAATTATTCAATATAACTTCTACAACAGTGTTACATTTAAGAAAAAAAGAAAAAGAATATGTGCTTGCTACTATGAGCTAAAATGCTCAACCATAGCTTTAATGAGCAAAATATTTACAGAAGCATGCAAACAATGTCATTACTTTCGTATTACGGAACTTAGATTTAAGAAGCAAACCCATTAGTAAAGTGTCTAAACACATTTACAAAAACTCGTACAAGATTAATTACTAATCACCACTCAATCATATAGAGCTAATGGACACATGACAAACTAAAAAATCAAGAAAACTGGAATGAGTTAATAATAATAATCACGAGTAGAATCTCAACCTACATCGATAGCTTCGTGCATGTCCGGAACACCTTTCGTAATATTCTCGCCGACTCTTTGATACCCTCTGCACCCCATTACATTTTAAGCCAATGATCACATCAATCACACTACAATTCAACATTCAATCCAACAAAACATAAAGTGAAATTCTGTTTAAACAGCCCAAAACCTGTATCCAGTCTCTCCCGATAGCTTAATCTTGAGCTTCTCCTCGTACGGCAAATGGAAAAACTGGCGCGAGATGCTTCTAATCTCCTTTATAAGAGAGCAAGGAATGCCATGACCCTTCTGCATAACATAAACAGCCAAAAGTTGAAATCGACCCACTGAACTAAGCTCAAGATTCAGTATAAAAACCAAGCAAACAAATTNAAAGGGGAACAAGTTGCTTAATTTCGTCAGGGAACAAGAAGATCCAAAGTACCACATAGAAGAACCCAGCTTCTCTACAAGCCCGGTCCAATTGCTTCACAACTTCTGCTACCCTTACATCCTGACCCATGTTCGGATCATCCCATTTCTCAACTAGGGGACTGATATCTGTTACATATTCAATCATACAACAGAAAAACAGAGAAAAAATATAGGAAAAATAATTGCTTGCGCAGGTTATCTGAACAAGAACTCGAGAATGCAGGAAGCTTAAAAAACTACCGATTAGAGGGATGGATTTGAAATCGGTAGCCATGGCGTGGGCAGTTGTTGAGCTCGGTTTGTTTTCTCGAGCTGGCCGAAAGATAACCCAATTTTTTGCAGAGGATATAAATTGATGAACTTTATAAAGTTGAAATCAATCATATCATGCTCGTTAGATTCCCGAGCATGTGGGCCTTAATTATTAGAACCGATTGTGAGTATGGATGGGCCTGATTAATGATATGTATTCAAGATACGGCCTGGCTGAATATTGCATGTAAGGTGAATCTGGGCCGATAGTATAAGCACCAGACATGGGTCTGGGCTTGCCACTTTGGTTTATCGAAAATTTTTCATTTCTATTTTTGGTGCAAAACATCAATTATAAACAAGTAGAGAGCGGCTCGGGAGCCGATCACAAGTGCTCAAGTCAAATCTTGACTCACGCTTGAGTTTGACCGAGTTTGAGTATCTCGAGTTGAGTTCAAGCTTGTTATATTTTGTAAGCTAAATTATTCAACTCGCCAATAGAATGTACATAATTGGCTAAATGCACATAATTCAAGTTAAATTCGACCTCAAAACGAGTAAAGTTCTCCGTAATTGGAGGCAATATTGAGCTGATGAAATTTGAACCCGACCTCAAGCATTTGTATAATATTGTTGAGTTAAGCCTTAGTGAACTTGGCTCGTCGAGCTCGAGCTTAAGCAACAAGAATAAAAAAGGAGCTTATATATATTGGATATGGACCCATATATTTTACATTTTATGTGCATTCACTCGTATACACACTCTCGAATATTGGATATGGGCCTATAAATCATATACATTGGGAGTTATCTCCCCTCATATTGTTGGCCAGTGCTGCAAACGAATCGAATCGAATCGAGCTTGTGCTGTTTGAGCTCGAGTTCGACTAATATTCGAGCTTGTTCGAGTTCGTTCCTTTACTAGTCGAGCCTAAATTTATGTTCGTTTCCGTTCGTTTAGTTGTTCGTTACGTTCGTGTTCGACTCGTTTAGCTAATCGAAATTATTTGAACTTTTCGAACGTTCGATTAGCTCAAATTATTTCTATTATCAAAACTTAGCTTATTTACTTTTATTATTATTATTATTATTATTATTATTATTATTATTATTATTATTATTATTATTATTAAAAATCTTGTTGTTTGCGTAAATTCGTTTATGTTTGCGGACGTGTTCGTGTGCTTTCGAATAATAAATGAGATGCATACATGTTCGAGCTTGGCTCGATTAGTAAACGAACGAGCCCTAAATGAACACGAACGAGCTTTTGTTCGCGAACCTTCAGTTCATTTGCAGCTCTATTGTTGACATATGAACTAAGTTATAAATCACCATATAAAAGTAGCATTATCTTTATATAAAAATCACCATGGCCTCATTTACTAGGGTTGATGGGGATATGATGGGATTAGTCTAATAGTCCAATGAGTCAGCTTTCACCCATGTTTACCTTTTAGGATGCAATTTCTTTTAATCCTATCCTCTGTTTACTAAAGTCAGGTTGCAAATTTGTTAAAAAAGGTGGAATGTCAAATTTACCCCCACTCTTTCTACTTTCCCATCCAAGTCAGAGACACGGAATTTGGAGCTCGATTTTGTAACTCTGTGGAACCCTAGAAATACGACGATGACGAGGAGTAGACGAGGAGTATGACGCAGACGAAGGTTTTCGGCTCGACTTCAACGGCTTGGGCACCGTCGGGTCAGAGGAGCAGAGGTCGCAGGCTTGTTAAATTAGGTCGCAGGCTTCAACGGCTTGACAATCCATCAAACTTCAGCCAAGTTTAGTTCATTTAAATTTCGGAGTGGATTTTCGAGATCTGTGGACCAAACCGAATAAATTAACACTTGCGAGTATAGGTAGGTTAGAACAAATTCGAAACAAATAAAAAAAAAAAAAAAACAAAGAAGGTGCAATTACGAAAGGAACTAGGGCAAGAAGAAGACGAGGTCGAGCAGATCTCGTGAATATCTTTCTTCTTTTGAGCCTCATAGTGAACCGCAAATTGCTCTTTCACTTCAGATTGGCCGATCTGAGAAGACAGGTGAACTTGACCGAAGAAGACACGTGATTGTTTACTGTTCATTCCTTAGAATTTTTTTTTTAATAATTCCTATGTCTGTAATTTTTGTGACATTGAGGGGTAGAAAAGAAAATTTTCAGCTTGATTTTTGGACAAAATCGGAACATAAGGCTTGGGATAAAATATCCGGCCAAATTGGGCGAACAAAATAAACCACTCACGTCAGTTTAATGATGTAAGACCCACATGCCACACACTTCACACATCAGCTCTATCCAATCCTATCACCCCTAGTAAATGAGGCCCATATATATGCAATTGATGATTACAAATTTACTACTGTATTGTGAATGTGTTTTATTATTCAACATAACCAAAACTTAGACCATAAGTTATTTTAAGTTGGGTGTCATGCATGTCATCATCCGTACTTGCTTTTCTAATACTGCATTTAGAATCCATCAGAAATGCTCACATGCCCACGGTGGGCACATGTTAATATGTCACCGCTTATGTGGCATGCACACATTGGTGATGTTAATATGTTAAAAAGTACATCACCAATGTGTGCATGCCACATAAGCGGTGTGCATATTAAGTTATTAACATGTGTCCACCGTGGGCATGTGAGCATTTCCCTAGAATCCATAGGACATGATGACGAATATCAAAGTTTAAGATTTAAAGCATACAAAACTAATTTAAGTCTAAAGCAAGCAGCTTTAAGTTTGATTAGAATTTACTGTTTAGATAACTTTATCACAAAAATCTTAATAGATCACTTTAGTTTCATACGTCAAGTGGGCCATGATCATTTCCATGTGAATAAAATCGAAGGTGAATTATACAACTAAAGCTAGGTTAAAACTTAAAAGCCTGCACTAAGTCACTACATGTGCTTTAGCAGAGCTCAACATTACAAAGCTACACTATTTTGCCAAAGGCATGAATCATTTTCCAAAAAAGAAGTCTACAGCAAATGATAAAAACGGGTAAGAAGATATCTTTGGCTCGTTTTATATAGTTGCTTTATGTCATCTTTTGTGTGTAAGAAACGAGGGAAATACGGGTGCGTGAAGCATACATGACAGGGCAAGCCCAGATTAAGCCTAAGTGAGGTTCTATCCCAATACCAATTTGTAGAAGAGAAGTAGCTCACTAGACTTATAAGTTAGATCTATTTTTCTTGTATAAACGGTGTGGGACAACTCACAAGTGGTATTATATTCTAATATCGTGGAAGGTAAAAATAATTAATCATTTTAATGCTGGATGTTAATAATAATACTAATCCTTATAATAGTTACACATCTCATTATTATACAAATAACTTAAGATGGGGAATTTGCATGACTAAAAGATCTTCTGTGGCTAAGCCTAACCGTAAGATGAGTTGTGATTATTTTTTTTTTTTTGTAAAGATGTATGCTTATACTAATGTTATGCTATTGTTTATGTTGTTTTTTGAATTAAAATATTTTAGTTTAAAAGTATACAATATTAACGTGACGCTTAGTGTGATATTGCGAGAGTGCATTGTGTCTTTTAAGGGAGATTTTGTTTTGGTTTTAATAGAAATTATTGGATAAAGTGAGTTATTTTGAATACAGGTGATTTGAGTTTAGAATTGAGTGAGATTTTAATCTTGTATTTAAATAATACTTAAAATGTCATAATCAAAGTTGATGTGATTGAAAATGATGGGTAGTTAAAAATATATGAGTGGTTGAATAATGAATCAAAATTGATGTAATGTGAAGATAATTGATTGATATTTGTTGACATCAAATTTTGGCCTCGCCTCTTAAAATATTGCACGTGGATATATGTATTAAATAAATATAACCATAGCAGGTCCTCTGAGCTGATTGTTTAATATCGACCGAGTTCCGAAGTGCCCGGATCATCCACGTTTGAGCCGATCAGAATTAATATCATCAGCCCGGCCCGGATATCGAAAAGATTAGAGTTCGACAGACACAATAATTGCCGATAAAGTAGACGTCAATCGAAGCCGTCAAGTGTCACGATCGGGCCCCACAATGTCATCTTACATTAAACACTAATGTTCCCTATTTACCTATTTTTTTAGGCCCATTTGTAAGCCCACATCCCATTTGTAAGCCTACTTGTAAAAGGGGGGGATGCATGATTGAATGGGGGGCACACAAATCAAGGAGAAAAGGGACGAATGATGGCTCTCTTAAAAAGGACCCACAAACATAGTGAAAAGGGGAGAGAGATATTCATCTCCTAAGAATCTCCTCACAATAATACAAAGAGTTCTTGATTTTTCTATCTTGAATATACATACAATCGATCGAACACCGATTATTCACGGAATAGGGGTGTTCATTTTAGTTGATCAAATCCGTTTATCAACATTTTGGCGCTAGAAGGAGTGCCTCGTAATTGATTCGAGGTAATTTTCCAACTTAACACCACATACGCAATCAATTCTTGGTAAAAATCCAATCCTCCAAACACCATCCAAAAAAGCTTGGGAAACCATGATTATTCCCTATTTCTTTGTTTCTCTGTAAGCAAACAAAAAACAAAAGAAAGAGAAAATGAGAGTGTTTCAGTGCTGTTGCTGCAAGTTTCAGAACATATGTTCTGCTTGAGAAGACGATAACAACAGTGTTATCTTTGCTTTTGGGAACCTGACCATAAAGGAACCTATCATCCCCTTTTCCTCTTATTACAACAAAAGAAAGGAAATTTTGCAAAAACGGTCGATAATCGGACGAGCTCGAAATGGATGAGTGAATAGCAGTAAATTCACCGACAAAGTCAAGGTGATTTACGACAGCACCGCCATAAGAAGTCATCGTCATCAATAGATGCCATCACCTGCAATTGGCCGATGGCTTCATCGGCAGGAAGCGGCTAATAAGTAAAAGTGATACACGTTGACGATGCTCCAGTAATACACGTTGACATGGCCGCCCAATATCACGGGGCCCACTCCATCTTTATCGAAAACGCCGCGAAATACGATGGCGGTCGCCGAGATCCGACATCAATTCTCCGACTTCGTAAGTCATCGAGTCCCGACATCAATTTTCCGACTTCAAATTTAACCGACTTCAATAAATGGGGGCCCGAGCATCCACCATATCCGACTTCTCAAAATTCACAATTGCCGAGCTTTGTGACCACGACTCTACCGACCAACTTCCCAGTGTTCCCGACCTTAAAAGTCGGTTGACTTCATCAACACTGACCTCAACGCATAAAGTCGCCGACCTACATCGGCTAACGGAACTCGGCAAGAAAATGGCCGCGACCGACTTCAGCGGCAGGGCCCAAGTCGGATCTCGGAATCGGGACTGATTCTCGTCGACCTCCAAACCGAATTGCCGGACCCGACATCATCGTCGCCGACATCACCTTCAAAACCGACCTTAAAATCGGGGCCGCCGTCACTTCAGGCCAGATTCAAGCCCTATCCCGACCGCTTTTCTCCGACTTTAAAATTGACCGACTTTAATTGATGGGTCTCCCGAGCAGCCACCGAAACGCGAACTCAGTCACCGAGGCCGAACTTTTCCCAATCCGGCCGACTTCCTAAGCAATTCACCGACTTCACCTTGTCGAGATCTCGATAGGCCGACTGCACTACAAAATTCGACCGAAACCGACTTTGTCGTCTTGAATCTCCGAGCTATCTCAAAGGATTTTTATCGTTATCCGCGAGGCGAACGATGTGAGAGAAATATGTAGAAGTGAAAATCGGACTGCTTAGTTAATATCTGATTTAAAATCCATTCGGGCCTTATGCTTAAGTTGGCCCAAACAAAAGGGAAGAGGAGTAGCTAAAAACCAAGCCAATTTATCTATTGGGTAACATTCCGGGATCGAGATTTATTTATTCGAATCAATACTAGCCGGGCCGAGCTCATATACACAAGCCGAAGACACTGAGGACAAATTTATTTCAACCGACGATAGTCGTGGCCAAGCTCATTCATACAGGGCTGATTTATTATACGCCCACAGACGAACTGTCTCACCAGGTCGGTTTATTATTTACTCACCACAAATCCCGGTTCATTCATTCCTACGCTCACTAATGGTACCAGCCTATCGGATTGATTCATTATTTGTTCATCCCCGACCTTACAAACCCACGATGAGGTCGAGCTTTTCTCTTCAAAGCGAAGTCAAACTCATTTATTAATACTTGGGACGGATTCCCTTACTTATGACGGGTTCAACCTCGTTTATCGATGCTGGGGCCGAGTTCATTTATCAACGCTGGGGCCGAGTTCATTTATCGACGTTGGGGCCGAGTTCATTTATCAACGTTGGGGCCGAGTTCATTTATCAACGCTGAGAGCCGCATTCATTTATCTACGCCAGAGTCGAAGCCACTTATCTATTTGCAACGACTTACCCATTCACGTTATGCCCGATCATCAATCTGCGACGTCCATATTTCCTCGCCGTTGAGCATCGACTCCGGCTGAGCTGACGTCTATATTTTCTCGTCGTAGAGCCTCGACTCCGGCTGAGCGACGTCTTTATTTTCTCGCCGTCGAGCTTTGACTCCGGCTGCGCCGACGTCAATATTTTCTCGCCGTAGAGCATCGACTCCGGCTAAGCCTACGATTATATTTTCTCGCCGTAGAGCTTTGACTCCGGCTGAGCAACGTCAATATTTCCTTGCCGTAGAGCATCGACTCCGGCTGAGTGACGTCTATATTTCCTCGTCTTGGAGCCTTTGCTCTGACTGAGTTATCGTCTATATTTTCCCCGCCGTGGAGCTTCCACACCGGCTGAGATGCCATGCCCAATTCTTACACCAAATCCTGAAGTTAATTTGGTAAGACAAATACCCATTATACCAAATCCTGAAGTTGATTTGGTACGACGCATGACCGTTACACCAAATCCTAAAGTTGATTTGGTACGGCAGATGCCTATCACAACAAATCCTGAAGTTGATTTGGTACAGCCAATATTCCGGTAAGGCAGTCGAGGTGACATCATTTACCGCACTCATCATATATTTGCACATTCATACATACGTTCATCACATATGTGCATCATACCTGCATATTGACATCAACAAACAAGCCAAACACTTGAAAGTGAATGGTTCGGCCCAAAGTGCCCCAAGTCGGTTTTTAGCTGACGCTCTGAAAAATGGCCCTAAATNTGGCAAAATCATCGCAATGAATCACGAAAAACATTCGCAAAGGCCCGAGCGCCCAAAGTATCGATCAACAGAATCGTGACGGTTCTTATCCAAAATTCAACTCTTTCAACGAACATTATGTCAAATAACGAGTACCAAATTACCCGACTAAGCCTCTCAGGCCCCATTCTGTATTAATTCCGAAAAATTGTCCATTTCACCGACTTAGCTCATCGAAGAGCATAAAAGCGTAAATGACATGCCAAACGTCAAGCCAAAGCCTGAAAACGATCAACAAGACGTCCACGGTCCCAAAATACCCGGCCAACATCAATGTGTCATCTATAGCAGCCAAAATTCATTTTACGTATGACTTCAGAACAGTTCTATTCAGAACATGTCCTAAAGTCAGGGGCCTCTATGTTGACATCAAATTTTGGCCTCGCCTCTTAAAATATTGCACGTGGATATATGTATTAAATAAATATAACCATAGCAGGTCCTCTGAGCTGATTGTTTAATATCGACCGAGTTCCGAAGTGCCCGGATCATCCACGTTCGAGCCGATCAGAATTAATATCATCAGCCCGGCCCGGATATCGAAAAGATTAGAGTTCGACAGACACAATAATTGCCGATAAAGTAGACGTCAATCGAAGCAGTCAAGTGTCACGATCGGGCCCCACAATGTCATCTTACATTAAACACTAATGTTCCCTATCTACCTATTTTTTTAGGCCCATTTGTAAGCCCACATCCCATTTGTAAGCCTACTTGTAAAAGGGGGGGATGCATGATTGAATGGGGGGCACACAAATCAAGGAGAAAAGGGACGAATGATGGCTCTCTTAAAAAGGACCCACAAACATAGTGAAAAGGGGAGAGAGATATTCATCTCCTAAGAATCTCCTCACAATAATACAAAGAGTTCTTGATTTTTCTATCTTGAATATACATACAATCGATCGAACACCGATTATTCACGGAATAGGGGTGTTCATTTTAGTTGATCAAATCCGTTTATCAACAATATTATTTAATCATATTGATAATATTGAGAAAAGTTACGGAGGATAAAATAGAATTAGATTTTGAGCTAAAGAGTATAAAAAATTGTCCAATCAATTAAATTTTGATGGTGAGGAAAAAAAAAACTCTTGACCATTGTCCAAAGTTAGATGTTGAATCTCTCCTCACCATCAAACTTCTCAGTGGCAAGAATCTCTCCTCACAATGGTCAACANTCCTGAACTGTTGAAGTGTGACATTATGCTTAATAATATGTGTGAAACTTTAAGCTGCAACATTCTTGAAACCAAGGAAAAACCCATTATCATTATGCTTGAGTGGATTAGAGAATACATATGCATTAAGATGCAGAAAAAAAAATGATAATAAGGCAGTGTTGAAGTGGAAAAACAAAATTTGTGCTAACATAAACATGATCCTTCAGAAACACTTGTCACATGTATCTGACTGCATGCCAATTATATGTGATGACAGGCACTGTCAGATTAAGTGGTATGATGGATCACAGTTTATTGTTGATTTGGAGAAGAGAATTTACAGTTGTAGGGTATGGGATCTAGGGGGCATCCCTGGTAAGCATGCTTGTAGTGCCATAATAGCTCAGAAGTTGGTACCTGTTGACTTTGTAGATGGTTGTTATTCACAAGAGTGTTATAGGAATGTGTATAGGGGGTCAATTCTAGGAAAGAATGGTCTCTTATTGTCAAGACAAACCTTTTTTGTTCCTCCCTTACCTCACAACTTTAGGAGGGGTGCTGACAGGCCTTCAAAGGCAAGAAGAAGAGATCAGGAAGAGCCTAAAAAGAAAGGGAAAAAAAAGGAGAGGGAAAGACCAATGAAATTGATGAGGCAACAACCAACAATGAGGTGCAAAAAATGTGGCATGGCTGGGCACAATGCAAGATCTTGTCAATGCAAGATCTTATCAGAAAAGGAAAGAGAAAGAAATGAACACTCAAAAGCCAAAACCAAAGCAAAGTAACTTAAGAAGTGGACAACTCTCCATTGAAAAGGGCTTTTGATACAATTGCAAGTTTTTTATTAAATTTTATAAGTTATGTTCTTGTTATTCTATGTTTATGTGACTTGACTTTATGTGATTGAATTGATCCATTTCTTTGTATAGGTTGAACGGAAAAGAGCAAGAGTTGCTGCTGTTGAAAGAGGTAAAAGTAAAAGGGTTAAGATGGCCAAAGTTGGGACAGGACAATCCTCACATGTAAGTGTTCATTTCACTCATTTAAGTATCCAATTTTCTATTACAATATCACTTCTGAAACTAATTGTTTCTAACCATATTTATTTACTTCAATCATTTCATAATCCAACACTCTTGTCACCAGTGATAAGGCATGGAGAAGATGATGATGATCTGGAGTCATTTTGTCAATTCATGGATGAGTATCAAATCCCTAGAGTTGTCAATCAGATCATGCCTACCCCTTACTAACAACTGCATGCAATCAAGAAAAGAAAATTAAATTGTCTTTGGATTTGTTGGAATTTGTTGAAGTGGATTTGTGAGATATATTTTGTTTTTAGATGGTAAATATGTTGTAAGTGGAACTCTGATGTTTTGGATTATTTTGGATAGAGATCAAGTAAATATGGTTTTGTTTTGGATGGTTTTGCATGATGTTTTGTTTTGGATGGATTTTGCATGAAATTTGCAAATTGGGCAAATTTTGGATTAGGGTTCTTGGGTTTGAGAAGTTAGGGTTTTGAGCTCGACAATTTGGGGCTGAGATTTGTGAACTCAAGTCGATAATGTGTCGCCTTTTTATGTTATGCCCACATGATTTTTTGTATTTTTTTCTTTTGATACTTTTTAATCCTTTTATTTGTCACGTCCGCCTTTTGGCATGCCAAGTCAGAGCAAACCGGGCATGAGAACGTCACGTGCGGGTCACGTGTGAATTTCGACCACAATTTTGACTTTTCGTCGCCAGAATGACTAAAATTGCGTTGACTTTTGTAATTACAGGAATAAATAGGATAATGCTCCAATTCAAGGACTATAATTGCCACGGGACCAAAGCAACAAGATAAAAAAATTATGTAAATAATATCAATCAATCATTTGTACGTATTACATCAACTTTAGTTAACTATTCATCAACTCACACAATTTTAACTAACTATCACTTCACATCATCTTTAACCTACTTTTACATCAAATCAACTTTATTTTTTAGATATTATTTTAATATAAACTCAAAATTTCACTAACAACTAATCGCACAACCTTTTTAAATTAACTATGGTTAAACAAAAAATTCATTTTGAGAGAATACATTTGTATCCAAGCACGACCTAAGCGGTTGTTATCGAGTTTAAATTGAATATTATGATTCAAATCCTTGGATATTCATATATAAAGAAAAATAAAAGAAACGGGGCTTTCAGTAATTCAAACAGAGCTATTGCAGAATACAAATACAAAATGCAGGGGAATGATGTTGGAAACAGTGTTTTAAATACCGTACCGGTGGTCATACTGGTCTAGTCACCGGTACGCGGTATGACCGGTAATATCGGTGGTATTACCGGATTAACAAATATAATGATATATATAAATATACATAAAAATATATAATACCAAATGCAAAAAAGTAAAAAATAAATGACCATAATTATTAATTTCAACTTCTCAATGACATAAAAATAAAATATTTAACTACCAATTTAAATTTTATGTTTATAAATTAATAATTTTTTTTTATTTTTTTATTATGTACCGGTATTTTGGACCGGTATTTACGGTATGATTCCGATATAAACCGGTATAACCGTCAATCCGGTATTTTGAGTGTATTTGTACCTTACCAATGACCGATATCCGTTATTACCGGCCGGTACAGTACGGTATTTAAATCATTGGATGGGAACATGGAAAATGGGGAAAGATGAATGTGAAAGGTTTGGCATGGCTCAGCTATATATGGGCCCGCATGACTCATTTGGTCCTCCAATCCAATTAAGCCTAGTAAAAGTCCAAACAACAAGAACATATGCAGTTCCGAGTTTCTTCCACTTGCAGGCTCAATATTAAATGTACCGTCATTTAGGAATTGGGCTCATCACCATCACTAATTTACCACCCTAAAATATATATATATATAAAAAAAAAACTACATAAATATGAATATATGATGATGATTTTGTAGCAAGATTTCACAGTCAACAACCTTATTGAGGTATCGAGCTAATAAGTTATACCACTTCAAACATCATATTTTTATTTATTTATGTTATTTTTTAAAAGTGTCACTTTTTAATTTAAAATTATACGTATATAATATGATGGTTTAGATATGCATCACTCAATTAACGAATAATACCTAATCTTTAGTAAAGCAGCTTAACAGTTAGAGCATCTCCAATGTTATTAGTTTAAAAGACCATTATTGGAATGTCAATTAGCGATTAACATGTCAATTAGCACTTGTAATGTTAATCTAAATTGGAATAATATTAAAAGACTAGAAATTTGAATAAAGCTAGTATCTCCAATGCATCAATTTGATAAGAAGTTATTTGTATATGTGGACCAATTAAATAATCCATTGATACAAGAAAAATAAAAAACTAAAATAAATATAAAGTAAATTGATGAGTCATCATGTTTAACATGGTGTTAGATATTAGAAAGTGTGCTCAACATTGTCAACATTAAATGACATCCACCTCATCATGAAAGAGTTCATGACAAGATGTATTGGAGAAAAAAAAAGTAACACACTTTCAAATTTATTGATATGAATGACTTTTTATAATGTAAAAAATCACATTAGAGATGCTTTTAGATGTGCAATTCGTTTTACTAAGTGAAAAAAGTTGTATATTTTATATTATCGACATTCCTGTTAAACTAGGTCCATAGACATTTTCTAGTTAAAGTAGGTCGACATGTCATACTATATATTAAAGATGAATAGTTTTTCTATTAAATATTTCGTTCTATTTTTATTAGTATTTGTTATCCTAGCTTACTTGATCATTTGTTAAATAAATGTCGTTTTGGCTATTTTGTACATATTTTTTCATCATTACCCTCATCTAACTAATAAATACATTACGTCTTTTCATATTCACTCTTCATATTTTCTCAAAACATCAATCTCAATCCACATTAATGAGGGTTATTATTGTAAAAGAAAAATATTCTTAATTATTGTGCAACTTCTCAAAATGACATTTATTGAAAATAGGAGAGAGTATCATACTTATATTTTATAATAATTTTTAAATTAAGATATTTTCTAATTATAGTTATAATGATTAAATCAACTAACAAATACTCCTTATGAATAAAAAAATTAAAAAAGGTAAAAAAAAGAGCCGCACGACTACCCATACAAGAAAAATTCAAACTCTTTTCGACTTTCACGTGACAACTTGACCACAGTACTCTCTTCTGTATCACCCCAGCTGCTCCGCATTTCCCCCACCACCATTTTCCCTTCTCCTCCTCCTCCGCCGCCGCCCGCCACCACTCTCTCTCAAAAAATCCAATATGCATTCCTCTTGAAAAACTCACAATAAGCACCAGTACAAAAAGCAAAAACCCACCACCATGTCCCACAACCATTTCCCCCACTACCTTCTCTTTTCCCTCCTCACCCTCTCACTCTCCGCCGCCGCCAGAGACGCCGAAGACCCATCAGAATCCCTCACCTCTCTCCCTCCCGACGCCGTCTCCCTCCTGGCGTTCAAGTCCGAGGCCGACCTCGACAACCGTCTCCACTACGCCACCAACGAGCGCTTCGATTACTGCCAGTGGCTCGGCGTGAAATGCGTCCAAGGCCGCGTTGTGCGCTACGAAGTTCCCGGCGCCGGCCTCCGCGGCACCGTCGCCGCCGCCTCCCTCGGCCGCCTCGACCAGCTCCGTGTACTCACCGTCCGGAACAACTCGCTCTTCGGGCCCCTCCCCGACCTCTCCGCTCTCGTCAACCTCAAAACGCTGTCGCTCGATTACAACTTCTTTTCCGGAGCGTTCCCCCTCTCCGTTGTGTCCCTCCACCGCCTCATCCTTCTCGATTTGTCCCACAACAACTTCACCGGCACGCTCCCGGAGAATCTGGCGGCCCTGGACCGGCTGGGCTACCTCCGCCTCGATTCGAACCGGTTCTCCGGTCCCATCCCGCCGTTGAACCAGACTTCGCTGGAGGTTTTCAACGTCTCGAGCAATAGTCTCTCCGGACCCGTGCCCCCCACCCCAACCCTAAAAAAGTTCACGATTTCGTCATTTTCACACAATCCGAGACTGTGCGGCGAGGTCCTGAACAAGCCCTGCCGCAACTATCCGTTTTTCAACTCATCCGGCGGCGATGCCGCCGCGCCATCGTCCCCGGCGCCGCTTCTGGAGAACGTCCAGTCGCAGCAAGGGCTGAACGACGCCTCACCTGCCGCCCAGAAAAAGCGTCGGAAAAATGTCGGCATAGTCTTGGGCTTGCTCACCGGAACCCTAATCCTAACTGCCGCAGTTCTCAGCATTGTCGCCCTAATCAGAAAACGCAGAGAAGAAAAAAACGAAGAAATTCAACCACAAATTAATTCAAAACTGGAAACCAATTTCACCGAGCAAACGACATACAGCTCAAATGCAAATCCGGAAAGCCCCGAGTCCAAGAAATCGAAACCCATCGAACAAAAGAGAATGATGAAAAGTGGGAACTTGATTTTCTGTTCAGGTGAGGAGGAGCTGTACACATTGGAGCAGCTGATGAGAGCTTCAGCTGAGCTGCTGGGAAGGGGCTCAATCGGCACTACATATAAAGCAGTGATGGCCAATCAACTAATTGTGACTGTAAAGAGATTGGACGCTTGTAAAACGGCGGTGACAAGCGGTGAGGAATTCGAGCAGTATATGGAGACTGTGGGTGTGCTTAGGCACCCAAATTTAGTCTCTGTCAGAGCTTATTTCCAGGCCCAGCAAGAAAGGTTGATCATTTACGATTATCAGCCCAATGGGAGTCTCTTCAATCTTATCCACGGTAAATTTTTTAATTTTGCATTGATTTAGTGCTGTTTTTAGGCGAAGTAGCTGAATTTTTGTGCTGGAGTTCTAGTTGATCTGTCATGTTAGCCAGGTTTTTGTGGTGATTACAGTGACTACTTCTGAATTTGCATAATTGGTGTCTAATTACTGAAGTGAAAACATTTTAGGCTATACATAAGCTGACATAAACTTTTGTTTTACTCAAGCATACTGAAAATGCAACTGAGTTGAAAGTGATTGCAATGGAAGTAAATCAGTAAATGTAGCTAGTGTTAGGACCAGTGGATATGAACCAAAGATGTGTGGTGGTGAGATGAGCCGGAGTAGCTTTTCTTTTTCTTTTCTTTTTTGCTAACTTTTTCTTTTCGGTTTTGTGGGCTTGATGTAAGCTTGTTAGTGGATCATCAATGAATGCTTCCGAGATTTTTCTTGGCCGTATTATAGAAAATGGTCTATACACAAAGTTATGGTGCTTTCTTCAAGTATATAGGGACTGTTTGATATCAACAGGCAGAGGGTAACATGATATATTGCCCTGTGGGCTCCAAAGGCCATATGATATGCCACTAGTCACAACCTTACATTTTTTTGATTTCTTGTGTAATAGCTGTACTTAAATTGTTTCGGCAACTTCATCATATTCGATTTGTTGAAAAAAAAAAAAAGCTCGCGAATTCTCAGGTTCGAGATCCACTAGAGCAAAACCCCTCCACTGGACCTCTTGCCTGAAAATAGCAGAGGACGTGGCCCAGGGCCTGGCCTACATCCACCAGGCCTCGAAGCTTGTCCACGGCAACCTCAAATCCTCCAACGTCTTATTGGGCCCGGATTTCGAGGCCCAAATCACCGACTACTGCCTCCATGCCCTCGCGGGCCCCACATCTCCGGACAGCGACCCTGACTCGTCCTCCCCTGGCTACAAAGCCCCAGAGATTCGAAAACCTCCCGGGCGCGGGCCCACGGCCAAGTCTGACGTGTACGCGTTCGGCGTGCTGCTGTTGGAGCTGCTGACGGGTAAGGCTTTCGAGCAGCAGCCGTACCTGGCGCCACCGGACGTGCCCAACTGGGTTCGGGCGATGAGGGACGATGATGATGAGGATGACGTGAGGCTGAGGATGCTGGTTGAGGTGGCGAGCATCTGCAGCCTGACGTCACCCGAGCAGAGGCCGACCATGTGGCAGGTTCTCAAGATGATTACTAATGTGAAGGAGATTATGGATGATGGTGGTGGTTCAAGGGGTGGTGGTGGTGAGGGGCTTGATTGATGGCTAC